CTGCTCCGTAAAATTTAATAATCTTCGGAAACGAGTTTTTAGTAAACCAAAAGCGTTCTCAACTACAATACGAGCAGATGAGTGTTTTTCATTAAATTTTTTTTGACTATCGGTTAAATTCCCATAATTTTTGTAAGGTGACACAATCCAGTTTGTAGAAGGATAAGCAGAATCTCCAATAATAAATGTCGAGTTTGGAAATATTTCTTCGTATCTTGATTGTGCCATTCTATATAGCTTTGACCTTTTCAAAACTCTGTAATCATGCAAAGATCCAGGTTCTCCGCAAGTAACTTCAATAAATTTTATTGGCATCCACAACAGCTTGGAGAACGATACTATAACGTTGCTTGCGATTAAAGTAATCTTCTCCATGGTTTTGTGGTTTTTTAATGGGAATGTGTGTACAATCGATTGCTCCGATAATGCCTGGTATTTTGTGATTACATTCAAATGTATTTATTATATCTAATGCAGCGACTCCTCGTGGCCATGATACATAATCTCGGCCTATGGAAATCAAAATCGTAGCAACAGTTTTTACTGTTGACCATGCTGTAGAAACTGACACTCCAAAGAGATTTCCTAATTGTCTATAAGTTACTGTATTACCAACGTACCAAAGATATATATAGACAGACTTTCTGCAGCTTACATGTTTAATACCACCACAATCTGTATCCGACAAATTCTCCGATTCTGAGAAGCGCACTAGAAATAAATTAAATTTGTAATTTAATCACAAACAACTCAATGTATATTTACAGATAAGGTCTTCCGCTGTACTTCGTCGTAACCTGAAGTGATTTTTAAAATCCATTGGGTTCATTGATTCTATACTTTCTTCAAAATTTTTACACTTTTCCTGCTCTTCTTCACTCTGGCTTGAATCTTCAGAGGAGGCTGTTGCGGCATTCATAACATTTAAAAAATCCGTGAAACAACTTGCATCTCTCGGCCGCTGCAAAACGGTGCTTTCTTCTCCCAACATCGACAGTACCTACAAAAATTTACTTATCTTAGTGTTTATTTTTAAATTTCCAATATTCTTACCATTCCTTTTAATTCCGTGTTCATTTTAATTTTACAATATTTTTTTAAAAATATAACTGATTTATATGCACATATACAAGATTTGCCGTTTGTCAAAACAAAACATTTGACAGATTGCAACAGTGATGCCAATGACTCGCGTGGCCAACATAGGCCAACATGCATTTTTTGCCGTACTTGCGAGCCACCGAAAAGGCCTATTATTATTTTATTTTAAACAGTATTTTATAATTTCTTGCTAATTAATCGAACAATTTATGTAAACCAATGACATAAACCAATTTCTCTTCGTTCTATTCTATACACAAACCAAGTATAAACATTTTACCCTCGATGAGCGATAAGCATGTTGCTGTCTCAGATAAATTAATCTTTAGGGGTATTCATGATGTCTGTGCATCGCCGAATGTGCATCATTGCAAACTCAAATAATCGTGAATACACTTTGTGCATATTAGTCTTGAAAATAATTAGAACAGCTAATTTTTTTTTACGTATTTATTTACTTGTAAAATATAACTTATATTCGATATGCATAATTTTAACAATGCCAAGAAAAAATGAGAAACAGAATATATTGACATTATCCGACATTATTGTACGTAAAATAAAAATATAATCAAACAATTGCACAAATTCACAAAATTATAAAATCAAACAAAACTTGACAGTTTCGCTTAAGTATTGTCCAGCGAACAGTAAAAAAAGTAGTATCATTCACAATAGAGTCTTGAAAACCACATATGCAAGAGGTAATTGTTATGTTATATGCAACAGGTAATAATTGGTGTTGAAAATATGGTCTTGAATATTGTCTTGCAAATCAAGTGCAGAATCATAAGAAAGGGAATTGTTTTTGTAAAATCAAATAATTTTGCACATGCAATGATGCACAGAAATTCTGAATACCCCAATTATGTACACCCAATTAATTCAAAAATGTTGATGCCAGTACAATCTTAAATGCTTCAAAACAATTATTTAGTAACAGGTTTTAATGTAATATCAGGCCTTTTTTTTGTAAGCATATCACAAAAGAGCAACCGCTTATTTTAAAAATAACATGAAACAACAGTGCTGGCTTATTTAGTACAACCTTTTTAAAATCGCTTAAGTAATAAGCGAGGTTGCCAAGACTAAATATGCGTCTATTATGAACGATTTTTGAAAGTACATACAAATCAACGAATCCAGTTAACTGTCAATGAATGGTTTCGTTAATTCTTCGTATTTTGTGTCATTATTTTTCGTGATAAACACGAAAAATAATGACTATTTATTTATTATTTTACTATTAGAAGGCATGAAAATTCACATTTTATTCACAATCATGTAAAAAAAATATTCTTACCAAGAATTGCAAAGAATTTTCATTTTGTCCACAGTTGCCAGCGAAAGTAGTGGTTACTTTATTTGTTCTTTTGCGACATGCTTACAAAAGAAAAGGTCTATTAATGTTGGTAACACGTTTAGTACGTTTAGCTGTTGAAGTCAAGAATAATTTCAAATGACAGCTAAATTATAAATAAAACCCTCTTGTGAATCCAGTATAACTGTTTCAATAGATCACATCGTTGAGTTATACAAAAAAAGCATTAATGAGCATAAAATGCTATTTAAAGTCAGATTCTGTAACTGGTCTAGGTCCTCAAGGAAGGAGGCTCCTAGAGTACTAAGTTGTCGACGTGCATGAGCTGGGCAAAAACACAAAAGATGAGATGCGCTCTCATCGTACTCCCCACAGCTACGACAGATTTGATTGAAAGGAAGACCTAGTCTTTTAGCATGGTTCCCTAGTTTACAGTGTCCTGTAGTCAACCCTACCAGAAGACCAATGTCTTTGCGTAACATCTCAATTAGAGTTTTCGATTTCCTTTTATCGGAATTTCCTTTTATAGATTGCATACAGATGTCTACATATCGTTGAGTCTTCCCATCTTTTGTTAAAAGTATTAGTGCAGAAAGAACTCAATATTTTAGGTAGTAACACACAAGAATTCAAGATAGTATAGATTTCCACCAAGCAACCAAACATCAAAATGAATATTACACGTACCTGATTGACTCCGGGGCGTAGACCTGACTGTTCTTGAACCCCAACCCCCTCTCAATGCGTAATAATCCCCTCCGCTCTCACACAATCAATACTCAACCACATTTGCTTTACAAATCCTTGCTGGAAACTTGTACAAAGATTTACCACAATCTTATTGGTTCATTTCAGTTAAAGAGTTGAAAACAACAACACAGGTAACAAGATTTGAGAAGTTGCAACGAGCTTTTCCGTTTTACGTCTGAATATATATTCATTTAATAATTGCAAATAATTAAAGAAGTAAAAGAATATTATTCAATATTATTTTGTGGCCTTACACACATAGTAAGTGCTATTAAATATAAAAAAAATCCATATATATATTAAATCATAGATATATGGAATTAGAAGCATTTTCTTGAAGTTAAAAAAGAGTTATTTATATAATTACATAAAAAACATTTATAATTATTACATATTATCAAATTTTAAACTACTCTTAAATATCTTAATATTTATAATACTCGTGTATAACTACAAGGTGAGATGAAAAAACTGCAACCAACTTCAGACTGCTGTCATTTCTAAACCGCTCGTCCCACAGCTGTCAGATTTATTCTAGTGACAGCTCATTATATTGTTTACAAGCGCACAAAAGCATTTTGGTGGGAATTTTTCAAAAAAAAAGTTATTTGTGATGGAATTCAAGCGTGATAGTGTGATTGCTTTGCATTTGGCTGGAAAACCACAAGTGGCTATCGTTAGAGCCCTCCAGCATTTAGAAGTGAATAAATGTTTTGTGTCTCGTACCATCGCTCGTTACCATGATACTGGTAGCGTAGCCCGACGTCAAGGAAGTGGACGAAAAAAAACAGCAACATCGGCAGAAATGGTTCGAAAAGTGAAAAAGCGAATTGAACGAAATCCGCGTCGCAGTGGACGAAAAATGGCTCGTGAGCTGAACATATCGCAATATGCCATTCGGCAAATATTGAAAAATGAGCTTGGACTAAAGCCATTCAAGTTCCAAAAAGTGCAAGATCTTACTGATGCGCAAAAAAAAGTTAGACTCGAAAAAGCTAAAGAGTTGTTTCGCTTGGCCGAAAGTGGTGAACTGCCGAATTTGGTTTTCTCCGATGAGAAACCATTCGTTATCCAGCAGTTTGTAAACAAACAAAATGATCGTGTTTACTTGCCAGAGAGGTCAGCTGAAAATTTGCAACTTCGGTTGGCCATCACAACTCAAAAGCCGGCCATGGTGATGGTGTGGGCCGCCATAACAGCCGATGGTCGCTCGCCGCTCGTATTCATCGACCGTGGGGTCAAAATAAATGCGCAAATCTATCGCGAAAATCTTTTGGAGGGAGTTCTGAAGCCCTGGGCACGCAAACATTGCGGCCGCAGACCTTGGACATTCCAACAGGACTCAGCACCATCGCACTCAGCACGCGCCACCCAAGAATGGTTAAGAAATGAGGTTCCTCGCTTCATTTCCACCGCACAATGGCCACCAAAATCTCCGGATACCAATCCGTTGGACTATTGTGCCTGGAGTATTTTGGAGAGCAAGGTTGGCACTAAAAAATACCAAAGTGTCGATCATCTCAAGCAAGCGCTTCGCCGAGAATGGGACAAAATACCGCAGAGCCACTTTCGGGCAGCGTGTGATGGTTTCATTGGCCGTTTGAGGCCATAGTTCGTGCCAAAGGTGGCCAATTCGAACAAATCTAAACCGATTCTCAAATTTGATGTTATTTCCGACATTTTTTGCTTTCATTCAATAAAATTTAAAAAAAAATGAAAAAATTATGGCGTTTCACTTTGTTGCAGTTTTTTCATCTCACCCTGTATGCTTAAATTTTAATTTTTATATTGTAAATTATTTAAAATAATCAGAAACACTAATTATGAAGTCCAGGGTACAGTCATGTAAATAAAATAATATTAAATTACCTTTTTGAAATGCAATTCCATAATTGAATTTTATATAATAAAACACGGTTTACCATTTTAAAGGTGTGCTCTTATAAGCATTGGCTCTGAAATAAATAAAATATATAATATATGAATTATAAAATATTATTATTTTATATTATTAAGCTTATATATATATCGTTGAGAATACAATAAATACATGAACTTACTTTACTACTCCCATTGCTTGGGCAGGTGTTAAGGACATTAAAGGTGTTAAACGTTCCACAAACCGCTCATTAGTTCGTTCAAGTTCTCGTTGATAGTCTTTTTGATCAGATAATATAAGATTACGATTTTTCTTTAAGGCATCTATACAACGTTTCGAAAATTCCTTAAAGCAAAGACGTAGTTTATTTTGGTGTTTCGTGGGTATCGTAACACCATCTGAGAGATTCGATAAAAATACTGTAGCCATTTCCATAGGACCTTGGTTAACAGTAGTACCAATACAGCCTTGAAGTACCATTTGTAATATTTTTGGATCGGCCGGTTCTTGATTCGTTGCTGCAGCCAATTCTAAAGTTTTCTTTTGTATATCCTCAATTGCCACTTCGATTGGTTCAAGTATAATTTGCTGACGACTTATTACTTGGATACGTGTTTTTACATATGGAAAATGATTAGCTGTGGTAAGTATGGTTTTACGTTTACACTGCTCGTGTAATTCTCCATGCGCTTTACCAGACTTTGTAAAAGGTGTAGCAAATATAAATCGCTCTATAAAAATCAAAATAATCATATACAAATTATAAATTTTAAACACAATGATTATTATTTAGTAAATTTATACTTACTTATGTTAAAGTTTCTTTCGAAATGAGTTTCACGATGACGCATTTCGTAGGTTTCAAAATATGGTTCCACATAAGTTATTTGTATATAAGCTTTATCTGAATCTAACGTGCTTACATCAACTGAATTTGAATCTTTAATTATATGAACAGAATCTGGACCAAAGCGTTCAGCATAAAAGTTCTATAATAAACATATTTAAATTAGTTATTAAAATTCATCATAATATCGCATAATTTAATATTATACTAATAATATATGAAATTCAAAATATTAAATCAATAACTATTATAATACAAATATAATTATAAAAGAATTTGGAATTTTATTGACGTTAATGGTAAAATGATAATTTGCAATTTATGTTAAAAACAAAAAAAAAAAAATAGTAATAAAAAAAAAAACAAAATAATAAAGAAAAAACGAAACGAAATATAAATAACAGTTAATAAAATAAAAATCACATTTATTTAAATATTAAATAAACATAAATAGATTATACAAAAACCAGTAAAAATATAAGAAATTGTAATAAAATTAACTATAAGTTTTTATTTCTATCTAAAATTTAAGACTAATAGAGAAAAAAAAGAAAACAATTTCATAACAATGAATATTTTTAATTGCTTACTTGCAAACGACTAAAGATTTCCGGTAATTTTGTTAATGTGGGTTCCTTATAAATGAATTCTTGTTGATCTAAATCACCAAATTTGGCACCATAAAATCCAACGCGAAAATAAGTGCCAAATACACGTTTACCTTGTAATTGTGCTATACGATTAAAGGCTTCCTGAAGTTTGCCATGTATTTTTCCAAGTTTCTGAAAGTCGCGATTGGCTTCGCATATCGGAATAAGGATTTTGTAGACCTCATTCATTGCTTCGTACATTCCAGCAATTTGATATGAATTAGAAGCTTCCTCTAGCAAAGCTTTCAGACCGCTTTCAGTGAAATGATTGCCAAGACATATACCATCTTCACCTGGACTAAGTACATCATCTGACACAGCCGATTCCATAAGTGAGTTAGGCGTAACACGTTGAAAACTAACAGCACCTACAGGCAAATGTGGTTGTGATTCTAACATGCTTAAGTACTCGGCAACTAAAGCAGCTGAATGTACATAACACATTGCAGCTTCAGTGTGATTAGCGCGTTCGCGGTGTTTTTTAGCCATATTTTCCAACCAGGTTAAGCGTAAATCTGGATTATTTTGATAACCTTTCGCAATGCGATGCATAAGGTCGAGCAACATTTCCGGGTCCTCCTGATATTCTTTCATTTTAACTGTGTCGGATAATATCATATGCAAATTAAAGAGCAGATCCTGTACTTGTTCAGGAAATGTGGTTTCCTGTAGATCAACGTCAGATTCAGCGTACACAAGTACAGTTTTCAATGCGCGTCTCAATGACTGCTCACTAAAAGAGGAACTGGTGCCAACAAGTGAACTTAATGACATTGTAACTTGCATTTTGACACGTGCAAAATTCTATAAAACAAACATGTAAAATATAAATGAAATGAAAAAAAATTAACATTTTGTAATGCAGGATTACTTACGTTTCCAATTTCAAAATTTTGCCGCATCAAAAGATATAGTGAAGCAGCAGCTTGCGAACGTATACCAGGCAATTGCGAACCGCAATGTTTCAACAATAACAAACATAAATCTGCGCAAATATCGGTTTCTTCATCGAATAATAAATTCGGAAACTTAAAAATTAAAGCACGTTGAGAAGCGAACAAATTTTTCAACGTCAAAGTGCTTTGGTTGCGTGATAAAGCATGTAAGAGTACTTTTAGAACAGTACCCAAGAGATTATGATGTATTTCCGAATTGGTCGACACTTGCACTATTATTTCTAGAGTGTCAAGTATAATCAGTGAGATTTCGGTAGCCAAAGATCCTTCGATGAAATAATTTAATTCTAAATCCGGATCGGGTTTAGTTACTACGTCGTAAAATGTAGATCGATACGGCATTTGATCTTTTCGCCAACGAAATTTTTCAGTAGAATTACGATCTTTACGACGGTTGATTAAATCATAACGTGCAGAGTTTGTACCTCGTATACATTCCTCCAATTTCTCCTTCAAATCATTTGGTTTGCGAAAACTTTGAGTGTTTCGTTTCAGTACTGGTAATCGTTTCTGTCCTTTATATTCGAAACATGGTATGCACGTATTTAAAACTTGTAACATTTGGTGTACACGATGTGGACTTAAACCCAATAACCAACGATACAAAATAGTTCGCTCGAGATTTTTTAATATCCAAATAAAGCAAGCGAGTAAATGTCTTGTATTTTCTGTGCTAAGCGGTGACTTATTTTTTACTTGGTCGGGTGCGTAAGAATACGTACGACTACCTGAGATAGCGTAAGCAACTTCCGGACTTATTGTTGTAGTTGCTATGGTTTGATGCGGTCCTTGGTAGTCTTCCAAAAGACCAATGCTTTGCAAACGATCATGTGTATCTGTCAAATACTGATGAAACTGTGGTATAGTGTCCATAACAATACTTAATAATGGTAAGTAAAGCGATGCAACTCTGGCACGTGCCTCTTTTTCACTGTAACGTGCATCCAAATCATGTGACGTCATAAGGTTTCGTATGCAACGTATTGCTTTACCATGCAACTGCGGATTTGGTACCTCCAATACTGTCGCTAAATCGCTTAAAACCAAACCAACAAGAAAATGTTGCTGACGAAAATCGGAATTAAGATCGGCATGCAATGCACGCTCTGTGGAACTGTAAGAGGTTTGACTGTTACTTGATGTAGTGCTTGGTGTTGGACTGCAAGGAGCTGAAAATGTTGTGTACGGTGTACCAAATGGTAAATTAAGTGCAAAAAAATGTTCGTGACTGCAAACAATACGTAAAAAATCGATTTTGTAATTCATTAAATCTGGTATAGATGCATTTTTGGATATCAATACTTTATAGTAGGTTTTTATGAGACCAAATACAAAACCACGATCCATTATACTAAACAGATCGAATACAAAAAAGCTTAGGCTTGCATTTAATGATTGTGCTAGTTTTGGTTCGTTGCTATGAAATCCTACAACCTTTGTGGTAACCAAATGCACCAATGTTGAAATATCATCAGTAAATTTGAGTGGAAAACGTTGCTTCCGTGGTGCAGTTAATGTGCGTGTATAGTCCAAATGTTCAATCATTGATTTCACAATAACTTCAAATAAAAACCAAGAGTTGCTCATAGCCAATTCAGCTGCTTTGCCACTTGCAACAACCCAATGAAGTGCGAGTTCTTCGTGTAGTAAGCGTATTTGTCCATCGCGCCCTCCATATGTGGGTGACATTTCCAAAGCTAATTCTAAAAATTAATATTGTAGAGTTATTGCAAATTTTAAAATTAAATTTTAAGAGTAAAATACATTTTAACATATCATAGCAATAAACCATGAATGGTCTATAAACAAACGCTGTCAAGACGCAGTGCATACTAATTGGTAAAAAAAAATCAGTGGATGTCACGACTCTACCGTTAGCCTAGTAGTTCATGTTGAATAGTGCACATTTACTAGCGTACAGTTGGTGGTCTCTTTTAGGATTACCCTCATGATGTCTGACATCTGTTTTCATGCCCCAATGCATCCACTAACTGAAGTTCATTAGATCTTCAGATCCGCCTCGCCGCATTGAAATGAAAATGTTTCTCTGCCTTGATACACCTCAACTTCAATGTAAATCCCACTCATTTCTAATTTAGTCTTAATTCTAAACAGTCTTCTCCCCTCTCACACAACCATCAGCTACCTACATTCTAACCTACGTTTAGTTCTTTATAATTCCTTTCATGTTATATGCTTGATGGATCCGTGCGGGTTACGACAACAAGCATCGTGCAGCTGCACACACTTTTACTGCTGATGTGGTTAACCATATAATGTTCCCAACCGTACTTCGCATTTTTCATACAAAGTACAGATTAGCAGTCCCATCGATTTCCTTTTAAGGAACCTTTTACTACATATAGTTTATATATCTTGTTATAGATTATAGCATGTGTTGAATAATTTTAGCAAATTACAACTCATATAGTGAGAGACGCACAACTATTTACTTACCTTTCCTATCTAAGCTGCGACCTCCTGTGGTGACATTATCATAAATGCTGTATGTGTCAACATTGTTTGACATCATTTCCTCTGCATTACTTCTGCTATAAGTTATACGACGTTTACCACAAAATGGATGAGGTATTTTACTTTGAAATTGTACATAAGTCGAGAAGAGATTTTGACGTCCATACTGATCTGCCACCAAATCATCGGAAAGTATCTGTCATATTAAATAAAGTAATTTCAAATAATTGAAATAAACTTTCAAAGTACATTTATTTTACCAATAGATTTGATGACACCATACATAAAACTTCGAAAACCGTCAAACCCAACGATAAAGTCTGCCCACCAATTTTGTACGTAGTCACCAATAACTCAATTAATTTATCTAATACCAAATGTAAGTTTTTAACTAATGGTTCGCGCTCTGCATTTGCTATGTCTAGAAGACATTTCTTCATTTCATTTTCCATATTCCCTTCACCAATACGTGGTGGTATTTTGCGTGTGTCTAGATATTCGCATGTAAGGAAAAATCTATAAAGTTAACGATAGATTATAATGTTATATTATTATAATTTGTTTAAGGAATCATGAAAGTATTTTACCTGTCCAAGTTGACATCTAAAGTGTGTACAGATGTTACTGCATCCACTGAAATCGTAAAAACAGGTCTATGATTATCTAACCATTTGGTGCCTGGTAAGTGTACATTTGGTGGTATAAAAGAATAGTTTTCTGGTGGTGTTTCAACCATTACAGGTAAACTAAATTCGCCTACTTTTAATTTTCCATCTTCTAACAGTGGCAACCACGTGTAACCAACTGGACTTTCAACAGAGGCTTGCACTTCTTGTGGTTTCTTCTGACATGATACGTGATAAAGTGTAAAGAATAAATGATGATTTTGTTTGATGTTCGCTGGCAGTGAAATTTTAATTTCATCATAAAATGCAGGACATTTATTATGATAGTTTACAGCTGTATATACTTCGGTTGCATATTCGGAACACGATGATTTTCCAAATATTGCATTTAATGCATCAGTTTGTGTTTCGCCAGCCATTAACTGCACTCTCACGGCAATATTTCGTGCTGAACCAGCGCGTGAAGAAAAATTCAGTTCTTTTGGTGATACAAAAAGTAGATTTCGATATGTGTAGTGTGGATTGTAAATTGAAGTGGAAGGAAATTCTAAAATTTCTTTTATTGGCCGCGTTTTGTCCTCTATAAATTGTAAATAGAAAAACGTTTCAGTTTTAAATGTATAAATATAATTAATAACTAATTAAATAGAATTCAAAATTCTTTTTATTAAATTTATAATTTTACTTATTAAACAAACACAAAAGAAACAAGAAACAATTTTCAACGAAAATTTGGCGCTTACACTTAGTCAATAATTTAAAAAAAATAGCCTTGTAAAATATATTATGATTTCAATACTAACATATGAAATATAATATTATTGTAATACTAATATTATAGAATATATTATTTTCCCAATCCTAATATTATAAAATATATTATCCTAATATTATATAATATATTATCTTCATAATATTAATATTATAAAATATATTATCCTTCCAATAGTAATATTATAAAATATATTATCCTTCTAATACTAATTTCAAAAAATAAATTACACAATACCTGGATATGGTTCCACTTTTGCCAATTCGGGTGTTAACGCGTTCTTAACATCTTCTGGACATGGTGAGATTTCCAATTTTATTGAACCCGGTATACATTTATATTTTTTCATAACAGCACCAGGTCGTTTAAGTTCTGGCAAAAATTTATATAAGTCTTCATCTTTCATTTTGTCAGATTCCTACAAATATAATTTTTAGAGCATCTACATAGATTTAGTTTTACATAAAATTAATTAACTTACTTGTTTGAAAAAACTTGATACAGTTATTGTTATAGGTCTGAATGTTTCGATAACATTAGCAAAATCATCAGGAGACCAAGAACGACGCTTTTCTTTGCGTTCCAATGAACCACGTCTAGTTAGTGTACCACCCATATCATTGGCCTTACGGCGCAATTGATCGAAGCTACTCGTCGATGACTTACGATCTAAAATGAAACAATATTTTTATATATTTTTTATTATTGTAAATATTTTATGCTCACCTAAACTGTTCGAACTTGCAGCCGAACCCAATGAACCACTTTCTTTCTCGTTACAATTTTCTTTGCCATCAAAGTTATCGCCATTGAATATATTAGTCAAATAAATTCCTGTCCAAGCAAACGGCATACGATATTTACCAAGACGTTCACAAAAGTCAGAAGCATTAGATTTAGCTTTTTCTCTATATTTATCTTTATCATCTTTTAAATAAGGTTCTACCGAATCCTTAATATCACCTTGTAGAACTTTTTCTAGACGTATAACCAAAAACAAATCATTGCTTGGGTATGTAACTTCGAATACCGCGGCACGACTTTGTGTGCTTGCATCAGAGCAACGCACATGGGTACTTAACATTCGCTTAAGTGTATCTGAGTTCATGTCAAAATAAAAATTCTCCGAAATTTTTTTCTTTTCCTTAGCATCATAAATTGCCATTGAAGCAAATATAGGTTCAACTTCAAGCTCTAAACGCAGTTGTAAGCATTTCACAAACACACGATGACCAATATGTTCCATTGGTATCTCAGCTGGTAAACGACGCTCAATTAAATCTTCAGGATCGGCTTCTGGATATAAAGCAAACATTGCCTCCTGACGATCCTCTTGTCGGCGTGCATCGTTTGTTTGATCTATTTGCTCAGGTGGTACAGCATCAAGGAGATTCGGTATAAGTGGATCGTTTACAGAACGTCTTAAATCAAAGCTAGCCCAAGAACCTCGTGGTGTAAGGGTATCAGTACATGAACTAACGGATGATAAACTAGCAATAGATTGTCGTGAACTTGGAGTACAACTATCACTTTTGTCTGTTAGTGTTTCGTCAAATGAAGCGAAATCTCTATCCACTTCGAATTCTTGTTGGTATGCAGATGGACTTATTGTACCGCGATCAATGCGTTCACGCGCACAGCACGAACTTGAGTAGTGACGCTGTAAATATTCGACGACTTTCCATGGACGCGTATAGCAATTCACGCATTCTTGTACATGTTGTGGTAGTTCAGCACTAAACCAAAAATATATTTTTTGTACCAAAATAAACCCATATATATAAAAATATAAATGTATATATAAATACATAAATATAAACATATAAATATAAATATATAAATATACAAATATAAATATATATTTTTATTATTATTTATATAAAAATATATTTTTTTGTTTCTACAAATATATATTTTTATTTATATAAATATATATTTTTATTTATATAAATATTTATTTTTATTTATATAAATACACGTATATATATAAACATATGAATATAAACTTATAAATATAAATGTATTTAAAGAAGAATATATATATAAATTCATTTACATATTTTCTTTTGGCACAATATGTTCAGATGTCCGTATTTTACGCGGTATAGTTTTGACCAAAACGTCTCCGGGCGGAAAGTCCAATATATGTTTCAAGGGATCCCTATTGAGCACGTTGATTTGTTGCAGTAAGAAATCCTCGTAATCCAACGGCTCAACAGGTTCTGTAAGAGAAAGCTATATGCGTGATTAATGAATGCAAATCCAAGTAAATATATTTAGTCATACATAAAAATTTTATTATTAATATTTTTTAATATCCTAATAAAATTGTAAATTAAAATTTCTAAAACGGTTTTTTTTTTGTAGCAAACAATATTAATTAAATAAACACGTTAAAAAATAGTTGCGATTTGCGAAGCTACGCAAAGCAATAGTGAAGTCCCGATTTATTCGATATATGTGCCAGTTATATTTATTCTATTATATTCGTAAAATTCCGTTACATACAGATACCGGCATTAAGCTTATCCCTTTATGTTTCTGCAAGTGTATGTATGTAAAGTTGACGAAACCCTTGCTCGAGCAAAAAAAAAAATGTTGTTAAGTTCGAAATGGAATCTCAAAACAATTGTATAAAATTTTAATTCACCGAACTTAATTTAAATCCTGGTAAATTTTATTTCACCAATAAATTTTTTTAGCTAAAATATTTGAACTTACCGTTGAGGAATACATGGAACTAGAGTCTGTTGTCTTTGTTTGCATATGGCAGTTGACAACATTTTTCCGCACTTCAGAAGCATGTTGCCTTAAAAATTGAAAGGAGAAAAAGTTTCCATTATTTAAACATGATTAAAAATGGTTTTAAAATGTATATTAAAAAAAAGAAATAAGACCGGTATTATTGTAGTATGTATTTACTTTGACAATTTTTGGGCAAAGGAACGTTGGGCTGATGTCATTTTCTATTTTTTTTTTATTTAGGCGTTCCTAGTGCAACTTCCATAAAAGCCATTAAATATGGCGACCAACAACTGCTGAAAGGAGCCTCTGTGAAACGAAAAAAAAAATACTATTACTAGTAAATTCCAAATAATATTAAAACTTCTTTTTAAATTATTGTACTCACACTTATATTTCACGGAATAGTTTTCACAATAGTTTAACCAAAACCCACTTGCAAACTAAAAAACAAACCCCACTTCCAATTAGCCAAACAGTCACTTGCAAACTAATTTCAATAAGCAAGTGCTGTCAATATGTTAAGTGTTGCCTCATACTATTTCTTCTTACAAGAGTACTTTTTGCAAAAGGTATTAAAACTTGTCCAAACAGTTTGATTTGTTTGTGAATTTTTAATAACCTACTTTCCGTGGCGAACATAATTTATTGTTCTGAAAAACTTTAAAAAATTACTGAATTTAAAAAAAACTGCTTATAAATTTAATTTACATATATTAATAATTTTTTATAAGTAAAAAATATCTAAATAGAAACTATAATATGCAATGTGCTCAAAATTTTTATTATTATAATATTATATTATATTATATTTTTTATTCCTTTTTATATTATTTAATAAATTGTTATTACTGTTATTCAATACCTTTTTTTAAATTATTACTGGGCTTAGGTCGTAAATTTAACACATAAAAATTAAAAACATTCTTTTAAATAAAAATTATACTTATAAATTTCTGTTATATATATAATAGTATATTCATTCTTATAAATAATTATTTGTATTACAAATATTTAGGTCTACTTCGTAGACCATTTTCAGTGTACAATAATATGAAATGTACACAGGCCGCAAATGACTCATTTTAAATCAGCCATTTGAAAGTGTTTACATTTGTTGTCCTTCATTTGTTTTCATTTCAAACAGCTGATTTGTCAAAGTGCCTGTTGATTTGATTTTTTGGATGAAGGTAACATATGCTTTCAAACCTTACATATAAACTGAAAATTTATTTTTTAGCTTTGATTAAGTACTTTATGGGAAGTAGAAGTTCCAAAAAGAGGTACATCGTTTTCAAGTACTGTTACTGTTGCTCAAACAATTTATTATAATGTAAGATTTGCTTTAATTTTATTACCTTTTATTTTTATAATTGATTTTGTAAAATATTAATATTGTGTTTGATTTTTTTACATTTTTATATCCTGTCTGCGATATCATAAAATTATTAATACATATTTTATCCACATTGGCACAGCTTGCTTTATTTTGTCATAATGCAAAAAACAGCTGTTTGTAAAAATATTTATAAACTCCAAAATTTTTTTTTAAAATTGTAAATTTTAAAATAAATTTGTATTATTAATAAAATTCACATATACTGTGAAACAATTTTTCCTACGCTACAATAGGATCCAATTAATATCCATACAACTAAAATTAAAAAAAAAATTGATCATTATTTGATGTGTTATATGGATAATTCAAGTATGAACGTTTGTTAAATTATATATATAAATTAACATTTTATATTTACTTTTATGTGTGTTATTAAATTTCAGTTAAATCATCTACAATATCACGCAAGGATTTTCGCAAATCATTAAAGAAAATGCAAAGAAAAAAACGGCGGCAAAAAGCCGCAAAGGAATTGACTAATAAAGTTGAAATTGGTAAGAGTTATTGCAATTTCATTTATGGAAGAAATTATATAGTTTTTAATGTTAAATAGAAAAGAAGAAACGTTTAGAAGATCCACAACACCAGCAATGGTTGAAGGAACAAAACGATTTAGAACAAAAAGAAAAACTTCAGCAAGAGGCTGATGAACAAGCTTGGTTGCAACGAGAAAAACGTGCACAACAACAATTTCAACGTGATCAAGAGCGTTTAAAAGAGGTAGAAGCTGCACAAGAAAAACTCAAGTTAAAACAACAAGAATATATGGAGAAACTAAAACAGAAGCAAGATGAAGAAAAACGAGTGGAAACTAAAACAGCAAATGAATTTGAACATATTATGCAGCGCTTGGAAGAATATCTTTCAAATACAGCTGCACAAGCTCCATCCGTACTACGCACATTTGTAGAAACTAGACCATATCAACAATTATGTGCCTTTTATGAACGTACGAATTGTTGTCGGTATGGACTATCATGCCAATTTAATCACCGGCGTCCCATGCTCTCAACTATTCTATTGATACGCAATTTCTATACACATCCACTTCTTAAACAAAGCCATCATGCTGAATATGAATGTGGGGATCCAGCTTTAGAGTTGAATGAACGCGACTTGCGAGAGGATTATGACGCTTTCTTTGAAGATGTAACTACTGAAATGCTACATTTTGGCAAAATTGTGAATTTTCGGACAGTACGCAATTTGCAGACGCATTTATGTGGCAATGTTTATATTGAGTATATGCAAGAAAGGTAAACTATAATATTATTGTCATTGCGTTATTGCACAACTCATATTTGTTTGAATTCTACAGATCTGCATTAAATGCATTTATAAGCTTACAGGGAAGGTGGTATGCTGGGAAAAAAATCAGTGTAGAGTTTTCAAATTTAAATACTTGGCGAGGTGCAGTTTGTGGTATGTGCGAATAATCAATGATGTATCCTTTTTATAAAAAAAAAAAACTGTTTAAAATGTAACTTTTGTTTAAGTTTAGCGCAAGTATAACTTTAAATTGTATATATATTTTTTTCCTTAACATACATTTTTTAATACATTTTTGACTAATGAAGGTTTGTCAGTCAGACGTAAATGTCCAAAAGGTAATACTTGCAATTACTTGCATTTGCTACAAAATCCAGACAACAAGTACAATACTTTATTAGAATATACTAAACTAGGTTTAGCAAAAATAAAGTCAACAACTAGTAATGAACGTGTTGATGTAACCGGAACAACGTGAGTTTATTTTTTTCAAACTTTTACTTACTATAAGTAGCATGGTTATAACATCTAAGTATATACAGGTGGGATGACGATTACGTTAAAAGTCATAAGGGCAAATCACGTTACTGGCGTTGGTCAGAAAGTCCAGAACCACATGACATTAAAGAGAAAATTGCTGGTAATAAAAGTGTACATCTAACTACCGATTTACATGAACACAATTCCAAAATGAAAGATGCTGAATTAAAGTGCAATATCAAAGATATACACGAAACAAAAGAATCCAACTTACAACATTTGTCATCACATCGAAAAAGAAGTAGGAGCAGGGATATTAGAGCTAAAGAACATTCAAGAAATCATTCAATAGACAAATCACATAAAAATCCTAAAGTTAAACATCAAAAAAATAAAAAAGAAAAACTTCGACCGCACCGGAAAAGCATTGATTAATTCTAACAAAATAATTTTGATAAATAATCACCGATGATGGCTTTCTCATATATTATTAAAATATTTTATATATTTTTAAAAGCTTTAAAAATAATAATATTATTATAGTGGTGATTATATTGTCTGTTCAAATAAAAATTGTCTTTATATTTAAAAGAAAATAATATGTAATATGAACGTTTTATAATAGTTAAAACATTTATGGTATGATAGCATATGACGTATGCTAAATTATTTCTATATATTTTTATATATATTCTATATATTTTCTTGCAATATTTTTGCAAGATACTTTGAAAGCATACGCTATTTATAATTGACTTGGTTTACTGCAAGAGTAAGAAAGAAAGAATAAAATTGTAAAAATAAAATGAAGTAATTATAATAATAACAATAAATTTAGTCAAACGATATCATATGATGTACAGTGTCAGTTGAATATACCAAACGAAAACAAACTATATATAGCTTAATTCTATTATATATTTGAGATTAATTATGCTACTATTAATTTTTCTATTATATACTTCAGCAAAAAGTTATTGTTATGAGTTGAGTTGAATAAAACTAATTCGCCATCATAATACATAACGATTATTATTACCCTTAGAAGGGATAACGGTAGACTGTTCGATAAGATCTATATCCTTGGAAAAAATCTCCTACATTAAACAGCTTAAATTAGGGCTATGGGTAAATCTAATAATGTGTCTTGGTTCTATACCTCAGATCTTAGTCGGTTTAATGAAAGCTATATAACGGCGCTGGTGTCGCATTCAAAAAATCACTACGCACAAGCAGATAAAAGAAGCAAATATTTCACTAATCATTTTACTAAGTGTTTTGGTGTACGTGTCATTTTTTCTTTTCTTTTCCTTTGAGAGGTTATAGTTACCAGAATTCAAATAAGATGATTTGCTAATATTTGCTTGGTAAATAAATAACACAAAGTTAAGCCAGCAAGGTTATATAATCAATCAGTGTTATTTGCTTTAGCATAGCGATTTTGCGATAGCCAACGTAGATTAAAAGAGCTAAGCGTTTACACTTCCTGGCAAAGATCGTCTTAGAGTTCATTAAAGGATTTAAATTCATTAGATGCATTAAAGCTCTCTGAGTTTTATATGATAACACAATACTCTATTGTTGATATCTATGATTACCATTATAACTTAGCCTTACTTAAGCTTAAGAATTAGCAGTTGCAGATTAATAAAATAGAAAGAATTCATTCTCAGTAGACTAGCGGGTTAAGGGTTTGGTTACATATTTGCTATGTTAATTACTTAGCTTACTAATAATAGATTAAGGCGGGCTATCATCTGAGCTATTATGTGATGAAGCACATGGCTAATTTAAAATATAATCCAATCTCAATCCAAACCTTACTTCGGATCGAAAAAATGTTTAATAGGTCTTACAAGAACCGGTACTAACATCTTCCGAAGAAGTTAGCTAATTATAAGCAAATAAACAATATTTCACGAAACAATGGTGTTAATCATATAAAGCGGTATCATTTGGTGTATTGACAGTTAAGACACTCTGTTTGAGTAAACAAAATGTTGGGAAGAAAACGGTTTTAGAGTTCAAAAGCATTTAGAAGTATTTAGCATTTAGAAGCCACACATAAAACAATAAAAGCAAAAAACCTCCAGTTTTTTTTTTAATTTTTTTATTTATTTAATATTTTGTATCGCATTTTTATTTTGTTCGAAAGATTTGTATGAGTTGCAAAACAATATTAAAAATAATTAATTAAGGATTCTTTTTGGAAATATAACTGCAAACAATTAAAATACAATAAGTTTATGGAAACAATAAATATTTTACAAGAAATATAAAATAATATTTTGTTAAAAATAATGTTTAAAATGAGCTTGAACGAATTTGCAAACAAACAAAATTGGCAGTAAACAGATTAAGAATCGAAAAAATATATATGGTAAAGTACATAAACGTATATATAAAGAAAATACATTTCAGTATTATACAAAGCTTAATAGAAGCAAATTCATAAATTCTAAAGTCTATTTTTTTATTTTAATAATAAAAATAATAAAAAAAAATTATATAATACAACAAAAAATTTAAAAGTAATTTTAACCAAACAATTAAACAGACAATTTGCATGCTGCTTATAGACGGATGCCGGGATTTGTGGCGGCTACATAGCGTAGCAGTTCATCGTTATCTTCACAGATGACGGGCTTCTCATGATAGCAGGCAACATCGTGCCATGCAATGCCATCATTGTATACGTTGTTCAATACGGACAAACATTGTTCCTTGGTTTGATTGATGTCATATTCAGCGTTATCGGGTTGTGGGCGTTTCTTGTGACCAGTTTGAGACCATGGATTGTAACCCCAGCCTTGTGGAATGCGGTTAGTGGCTTGGATCTTCTCGCGAGTTGCAGACCAGAACCAGCCATATACGTTTTTGGGTTCCAAATCGGGACGGTTCTCGCAGCCAGCGAAGTCACAAATACGGCCGGCAGTCCAAATGTATGGTACATCATTTTGTTGAATAACACGGAAGATCAGATTATTTTTTTCTTGTGTTTCCAAAGCAACCAAGTCCATACAATATTCACGGCATAAGTTACGGCCATCGAGCCAATCAACTTTTCTATTTGCCAAAGCAGGTACATGAGTGCTCAAGAACATGTTCCTTCCACGGTATGAGAATTCTTTTGGACCTAGAATTGAAACAAAATTGAAATAATTTAATTTATACATATATATAAGAGAAGTGCTTAATTTTAATTATATTGTGTAAAAATAAATAATATTTAGTTTAATTAAAATTACATAAAATGAGACAAGTAGTTCTTGTATTATTTTTTTGTGTGTTGTGTTTTAATATAATATACATAGTTATTTTGATCTATTAAAAAGTTTTAGAGTTGAGATTTTGTTAGATATAAAATAGTTTAAGAATACTGATTCATCGCTTCTTTAAAATTATAATTCGTTACTAGGTGTTAAGGCACAAGATTTCTTCACATACATATTTCTAAAAATAGAAAATCTTTCTAAAAATAGAGATATATAATGATGTCATCTATTAACAATTATATTCATTGCTGAGGTTAACTATGATCTTAAGGTTTATAGAAAAATGGTTTTATCGATTAAATGAAAGTGATAGGTCATCACTTTGTGTTTACGTTCAAAAAGACTATTCAGTAACTCTTCTTCTATTAGCCCATGTGTCATAAAATTATGAAACTATATCAGTTAAGAATCTATTTTATCAATATATGTGATGGCTAATAGATGGTCTGACAATAACTAACTATTTTTAAATAGTTCTGTTTGTTTTGCAATATATTTTGTATAACATATATAGATACTATTTATTTAAGCCGTCACGTGTGCGATTTAAGTAGTACATATAATAAAAACAAATTCAACTTTCGACTATTTAAAAACTGTCCAAAGTAATTTTTCGTAGTACTTAATTGATGTAAAGACTTTGACGTTTAAAAAACATTGTAGAAACCGGAACAAATGATCATTGCAATGTGCCAAATATACAGAAAATTATAGTTATAATAATAGACTGGAAGGTGTCAGTTGTACAGAAAATAGTAAATATGCATTTACATTTCAATAAAATTGTGATAATTTCAACGAGCTATGAAACTTGAATATGATTTTGCTTTATTTTGATCGAACACTATATCTTCTTTTTAGTTCAATAATTCTGGCTATTTTTTGTTAAAGTGAATAATACAATTTGTTCAGTTGATAAGTTATATACTTCCCTATATAGCTCGATTTAAGTCCCGCCTAACAAAAAATAATATTTTTTGATGAGTATCGGCTTTTACAGTGCCGGATCATAATTTCTATGTCATTCATTCTTACATTTAACATTTTCATACATAACCCACTTCTAATCCTCAATAATAATCCGTTTTTATCAATTTTTTATATGTGAATATTTTTCAAAGAATAGTAGTAAGGTAGGTAGATCCATAAGTCCACTTGAACTCAAATGATAGCCCATTGTGGTACCACGGGAATAGCATTGGCACGTATGTATATAGATTTAAATCAGTATACAGCCAACGTCGAAAAAGGTGACGACTCCCCCAGTAGGTAAAGAAAAATCAACTTGATAGTTTTATAAACTTTGCCAGGTCCCTAACATCACAGCATGACAGCTTAGTCAGATCGGTGAGAAAAGGGGATCCGAAGATTTTTAATCTTCTTCTAACTAAAGAATGACACTGACTCATAAGATGACACATAACATAACTAATAATATATATAACCGGTATGTAATAAATAAACAAGCGTACTTATTAACACAAATTTAAATAAATATTATTTGGAAGGCACGACATCTCTTTAACAGCGTCATTGCATAATAAAATTAAGATGTTTTTTATGTGTACTTCTCAACTTAGCTCAAATCTAAAAATGAAAACGTGAAAATTAAAGTTTTTACTTAAATTTGTATGTATTTAGTATACAAATCAACCATAGCTCAGTGGGCACAACAGCATAAAAGTGTTAAACAACAACAACAAAACCTATGACTGAGCCATGAATGACAGCGGAAAATGAGCAATGCAATCAATTTGACATGCCTACAAAATGAAGTACGTGCCTTTGCGTGTGTTTGCACAATTCACTGCGATATGTACTCCACCAACACACATAAAGACCCCAATAAAATTCAGCACAGCTGAATTCCTTTAAATTATGACATTACGGTAGTGGTCAATATATGTATGAAATATTTAAAATATTTATATATAAAAAAAAGATGCTTTAAAGTTTGGAATGCAAATTGCAGTTAGTTGTCATAAAGAAAAATAATATAAACATAATTGTGATTGTTGTTGTTTTTTTATTAAAATGTAATGTTAAAAATGTTGGTAGACGGAATGTGAAAAAATTATTTAATAATGAGGTTTTTCGAACAGTAGTGAACTACAACAACAAAAATTCATTTTATATTATTTTAATTAATTGAATTTTTGGCTGACTATACAGTTGTTTCGCGTATTGCCAAATACTTAAATTATTTAATAAATTAATATAAATATATAAAAATAAATAAATTAAATATATTAAAATAATTTTTTTTAATCAAATAAATATTAATGTATATTAATTAATATGCATAATTTAATATACTATGTTCAGACACACCTTAATTTCACAAAAATCTTAATTTCATCTTCGTTTAAGCGAAATTAAGTTGTTTTTTTTTATACAAAATTCAGTTTTAAGGTTAGAATGAAATTAAGGAAAATTACCTTAATTTCATTGAAACGAAGGCTGAAATTAAGGAACATTTCAAATGCAACTATGCATAAGATAAATGTTTAGCAAAAGATAATGTTGAGATAAACGAAAAAGGGACATTTTTTTTACAAATTTTTTAAATTAGAATATAGAGAAAAAATTGTAACTGTTATTAGTTTAAAATACAGTGATAAATAATAATTTATATACCTGAAAATCACTAAAGCTAATAAAAATATTGAATGCAATCCTTTATAGTTATAATAATCAACTTTTAAAATTTCCCAGATACAAAGGGTATTTGGAGCATGCAATTTTTAATATTCGATTTGTGGAAAAAAACATAAAACATCATACTGCCCCATAATTAATCCCTAATTTGGGGCAGTATGAATATTTCCGAAATTAATTTAATTTCATTTTTACGTAATTAAGGAAATTTGATTGTTTGAATATAGTATTACTTAAATAATAATGTACACCTAGAAAATATTTTTTTTATCAAAATTTTTAATCAACAGAATTAAAAAGAACTTATTTAGAATTTAATTTTTTTGTATATATAATTTTATATATAATTTGTATTATATACTATATCTTATATCCATATACTGTAATACCCTTGACTAATGTAAAACCGTCACTGTGTGAATAACTTAAAACAAGTTCATTTAAATTTAATATGCAAACAGCCACACACTGTTGTTTTTGTATTTACTTATTAATTTAGCCCACGTTTGTTGGTCATCAGTCAGTGTTAAGTCACTAAATCATTTTTCCGTACATCCAAAGCCGCCGGCAAATATAAACTCAAGCATATACATACATGCATGCATACATACTAACAAACGCCTAGCACGCGTTTGTGCTGCCGCAATTGTGCTGGAATGTTTGTGTCATTTTAAATTGAAATTGGCAGCAGCACATTTTGGTATAAGTTTCTTTACACATTTTGTTTGTGCGTTTATACCACATGCACATTGTGTGTATGTATGTCTGTGTGTGTGTGTTAAAGCTCTTAAAGTGTAACCTGATGACCTTATTTTTCATTTTCTTATATTTTTCCTTCTTTATTATTTTTATTAAAAAAAAAAAATAATGACATTTTCTGTTTAAAGCTTTTATTCATTTTAAATTATTTCAGACAGATAATGCAATTGGTGAACTCATACGCATACATACATATATGGACTGTAACCCAGTGTAGAAATTTGTAAATTAAATTTAATATTGGCGCCAAGATTATAGAAAACCTGCGTTAGATATTACACAAGATTTAAGAGTTTTTGAGTTTGTTTGTGTAATGTTAAAATAAATAAATAAAAATTGTGTAAATGCTTTTAAAATAGATTTTAAGACTCGCGTAATTATAACTAATGTGACTCAATTGTCAACGATGATTATATTTATTTGATTATGATTACATGATGAGTACATATTTGAGAATGTAATTTTAATCGTTGTCGAGAAACAAAAAGAGATTAATCTTTTTATTAAAAACTAAAAGTTAGAAAATAAAATCAAAAAAATTAAGTATAAGTATAGAAGAATAGCCCTATTCCTATCCCTTGTTAAGATATACTGGAATAAGTTTTCAAATCACATACTTGACAATAGTTGTTTAAAAAACTATTACAATTTTTCTTAAGCTCAAAAACACAATAGAAATCTTATGATTTCATATGAAAACTAATGGTAGAGTGCCTCAAAAAGCTGAAGATACTTGGTTAAACAACCAATTATGCATTTTATGGGTTTCGGGACTTATTGTGATTGAAAAATAGACTAATTTCACAGATTTTGAATTAGTATCCTTGCTAGTTGATCTCGGGCTGTGTTGTGGAAAACGTGATATAAAAATAATTTTATAATTTATTAATATTTTGGAAAAAGTAATAATAACTTCACAGATTTTGAAGTAGTATCCTTGTCAGTAGATCCCGTACTATGTTGTGAAAAAAGTAATATCTCCGTGCTTACTAGAAAAAAAAGGGTGAACAAAGAAGACTTTACGAAGGCAATCTACTAAGTATATTATATCCCAAAGCACAAATAGAGAAGTTTATCTTAGATTTATACAAGAATTGTTTGAAATTAACGTAGTATGACATGAGAACTATAACAGTAACTATAACTGGATATTGACTGTTGTAGCTTAGATTAATATAAAAATTAATATTAATATGTAAATTAATATATTTTTTTTACTTATTTATTTCTAATCTATTATATGTAAATAATAATATACAAATTTCGATAATTCAGATTATCGAGCTCCATTGTGCACGATAAATATAATAATAACGTATAGATATTGTACTATTACTTAACAATAACATAATTTCTAAATTAGAGGTCTAATACATATAACTTTTTAAGCCTTCTATAAATTAATATAAAAATTATAACAGAAATTCGAACAGAATCTTTCACG